ATACACGTTTGACGGCCAATAGCAAAATAAATAATTAAAAATTGTATACAAAAAACCTATGTATGTAGGTACATTAGGCTGGTCCAAAAATGCATGTGAAAAAGTAAAGTCGGAATTTTTATGCGCTAGGATTGTTCTATAGCGAAAAAAATATACCTATGTTTTTTTTGAAATCAAAACATATTTAGATATCACTCAAAGCGCTCAAAGTTTTCCATGTTTTTATATGGGAGGATTCGAACCGACGATCCCACTCACTCAGCCAGTTGCCTACGCACTGTGCTAAGTTCGCCTTGTGAATTCTTGTTGCTTTTTTCCACTATTTCAATCGTTAAGCCAACTACAATCAAGCGCAACTGTTCCAGTGCTGTTTAAACTTGATCATGTGGTTGTTGGTTTTGTTGGTTTTTTTTAATATTTCTATTATTAGAATGTTTAACTTTTAGGTGTGCATGTCCTTAAGTTATTTGTTTTTCTTTGGTTATTTTATGGCCTTCTAACAATTATATTCAACAAATAAATATTTTTATTTATTTTATTTCATTTTAGTTTTTGTTAATTTATTTCTTTATTTTCTTTTATTTTTTCTATTATTTAGTTAAATTTTTTATTTTATTTTAATTTATTTCGTTTTAGTTAAAAATTATTATATTTTATTTTATTTTCGAATGAAACTTAAAAATTTACGAGTTTTAAAATAAACAAAGGAACGCCTTAATGTCAAATGGTCGATTTTAATACGAAGCCATATACAAGTATGTAAATATGTACATATGTATGTATGTATGTATGTATGTATTTATGAATTAAGCCCTACTTCCATTTAGCGCATTAAAATTAATGCGATTTCTTTGTGGTTTTGTTTTCGTACTGAACGTAATGAAATATCGCAATTTGTCGAGCACAAGAATGTGCACTCAATTTATTTAATTTCACTGAATTACACGTGTCGAATGAAAGAGCCCACACAGCTTTAAAATATGAAAATTGAATGCAATTGCGAAAACACAGACAAAAACGTACTCGCATACACACATGTGCATAAATATGTTGAGCATGAAAATTTATGTAAATTCTACTATGGATATCAATCGATCAATGAAGCACCAACAAATACATACATATGTATGTGCAAGCATAAGTGAGGTTATGAATCTTTAACGCAGTGATATTTCAGAATGGCATCTTTATCTACCAATTTCCCAATAAAATATATCTACCTCATTATTCCCTGAAAAAATTTAAGGACCAGGTGGTCCACGGGGTTGTGGTTTTAAAGTATGTGCAAAAGGACCAGGCTGCATACTAGTAACTTGTTATGCTGACCTGGACCACTTTAAACGTAAAAAACTCATATATGTATTGAACATCACCTCTTCGTGGTCCATCGGCAATATGATTCGGTTGCCGAATGACCCATGGTCCAAAAGGAGTAGTTGTCTAGGTGGTGCCATGTTATGCAGCGTTGGACCAGGTCCAATGACATCGCAATGTTAATGTAACCATACTTTCTCCATATATTTGGACCATTTTGGTTACTAGTGTTGGTTACAAAGTTGCGTGGTCCTGTAACAGTGTTTAACCTAGTCCCACTTAATGCAGGGTATATACATATGTGCGTGCATAAGCATTAATTGCCATTTTTGTACATATGTCTCTCGATTGGTAGTCACTGCGATGTAAATTTATGCCCGCTAGCGGCAACTGATCAACATAAAATATGCAGGGGAAAAAATTACGCGAATGAGAATATGTATACATATGTATTTATGTTCATGTGCATGCATGTAGCTACATGTAGCAGAGAAAACGTAAAATAATGCAAGTGAGAAAAATCCCACTAAAAGGCGTAATGTCCAGCCCAGAGTGATTGCCGTTAGCAAAAGCAGTTACAACACTATAGTACATTAAAAGCGCCGGCGTCGATGCTGTTGCACTTAAAAATGTAAATTCAATTTTGCGCATTGTACAACGACACATCGACACATCGCCACATCGGTACAACAACAGGACATCAGGCTGTCGGACTTGACATGAGCAATCAGCGAACAATCGAAGAGCTAAACGAAATAATGAATAAGCTGTGAGCAGTGTGACCGCGGGCCACAGTGGTTCGGATCGCAAATCTAGCTGGGCGAAACTATCTAAACAAATACTCGTTGATGGATCTTTACAGCACTTCTTACCTAGGGGATCTTTGAGTCGCTGATTACGAATCTGAAGTCACTTATCAAAAATTCAAAATGGCGGACTAAAATTTAAAAAAATCGGTAGATTTCTATGAAGCTGGGTATCTGGAGGGTTTCTGGGTCGCTGATTACATATCTAAAGTCATTTACCAAAAATTCAAAATGGCGGATCCAATATGGCGGACGAAAATTAAAAAAAATCGGTAGATTTCTATGTAACAGGGTATCTGGGGATTTTCTGGGTTGCTGATTACGAATCTAAAGTCATTTACTTAATTTACTTTATTTACTTCGGAACGATATTTCTCATCAGATATTTCTTTCAATTTACTAATCACATAATCACGGACACCTTGTTGTCTTTTAGAAGTTTCAGCAACACCAAATGTCAAACAACTCACTTCTTAAGATTTTATTTACCATGACTAAAATTTAAGATCACAGCAAGAAACACAAATAAATTTCAGAAAAAATTTTATGACAGCGCTTAAAGATTTGCATGCCTGTTGTATAATTTTTTAATTTCAGAAAGCAGAAAATTTGCGAGGTACTATTTTTTTTAACTCTTACATAACCAAAGGTTTTATAACTCCAAGTATTTTTCTGTTTTAACACACAACCTTTTTTTGTTTGTTTTCATATGTTAATGCTTTAATAAATGCAATTTCTATTTGAATGTATTGTCAGGAATGTATTCCAAGTACCATTAAGTATTTTAAAAACAAAAAAAATTTGACTTTCGTCCAGCTAGATCTGCTATCCGAACCACTGTGCGGGCTTGTGAAAAATTGTAGCAGAAAAGAGACTTAAAATGTGTCAATATGTATCACTGTATGTAATCATAACGAAAAGGTCTTACATGTATCAGCTCAACTGGGTATTAGTATAATAAAAACAGCAAAAATGTCTTATATATAATGTTGTTTTTAGTTTAAATACTTTTGTACTTATAGGACTCGGAATTCAAATTTTTTAATAATTTTTAAGGCAAAAATTATGCATTCCATTTGTTCTAGAGCAGAGCTATGCGGCAAACATAACAAGTTAAAAATAAAAGAAGTTCGAAATATAAAAAGTTATTTAAAGCATTTTTAGCTTGCTTACTATATCAGCTGGGTTACTTGGCATACAGTTTGGTTTGACAAAAAAAGACAATATGAGTTTGGAAAAGTATCAAAATTGAAAAAAAGTATCTCTCCAAAATTCATCGAAAAATGTATCACTTTTGCCGCACTTGGATCAAAAGGGTCACACTGGCTGTGAGTAGGGATGAAACGATACGAGTAAATACAAGTACATACTCGATACTTTTCGTTCGATACCAAGTAATTTTGGCATCGATACTTTTGAACCAAGTACTGAGTAGGAACCAAAAAAAAGTACTGGCATCGAAACCCGATACCAAGTTAAATTTTGCTGCGAAATTTTTTCCTCTACGTGTATGCCTAATATGAAACGCCCTGTGCCTTTTGGCAATTTAATTGCCAGGAAAATCCGCGAGAAGGTGCCAAAGTCGACATAATGCAAAGTATATACGATCTAATTGCTTTACCAAAGTCGAGAGTTTGCAACGTTTTCATGACCAATTGTTCGAGTGGAAGTGTGAAGTGGATAAATGTTCAGTACATGCGTTTTAACGCGATGCAAAAGTCACTGAATAACTCTATTATTCTTTGCGCTTTAAACGTTAGTGGGAAATACTAAAGGTAGGGACAAATAACTCTGTTATTGAAAAAAAAATAAAGAAAAAGAGTTGATTCAAAATACATATAAAAAAGATTCTTAGAAAACACTAAAATATTAAACGTATCGCAAGCCCAGAAAATTAAAACGCTATCTTCGAATCTAGTCTGTAAAAAAATAAACATATATATTAGAAGGGCTCAAAAAATACCCTTTGGAAATTCATAAACGCTACATCAAAATATTGTTATTTGTTAGAAAAAAATACACGATTTTTTTTATTTTGAAAAAAAAAAAAATTGGAGGTCGCACTACACCATTTCCAGTTGTAAATGAGAAAGCGTCAAATGAAATTGCGAAAGCGTCATTTGGAAATGAGAATAGTCAATTGTAAATGCGATATCGTCATTTGAAATTGAGAATAGTCAATTGTAAATGAGAAAAGGTCAATAGTAAATGAGAAAGCGTCATTTGTAATTGAGAGTAGTCAATT